AGTGGCCCTTCGGAATGCAGGCAAGGAGCTGAGCCCTTTGAGGTTACAGTGCGCGGCGGGGCGCGGGGTGCGGCGGCTATCGCGCGGCCGATTGTTTGAGAGCCGAAGTGGCGCCCTGCCACGTATGCCTTCATTAGTGGGGAGTCCAGTGCGAACAGTGGCCGAGCTTTCGAGCCCACCGTCCCTGCTGGAATGGAAGGCCGCACTGCTTGCTTTTGCGCTGTACTTGCACCCTATAACGTGAGTTAGCGATATCTAAAGAAGAGGTCATAGCCAGTAGCATTACAGACTTATACGCCATTTCGCCGCTGCACGGCAACACGCTTGCACCGCAGGCGGCGCTGTGGGCTTCGTACGGCGATGCGGAGCGCTCGGCGGTACGGAAGCTCATGATGCTCAAAGCCCAAGTGGCCACTGAGCTACAGCAGCTGGTGGATTTGAGGCGGCGGCTGCGTACGGTGGCGGCTGCGGTGGCGGGGTGCGGTGCGGTGGATGGATCTCCTCCGTCGAGCCCGGAAGCAGCGCAGCGCAACCTGCAGCGGATAGAGGTGGGGCATAGCGACTTAGGGTTTACACAGGGGCACAGACCTGGGACTGGGAGTCGCCGGACCAGAAGGTTTTTAAGGTGTTGGAATCGTCGCTGCTGAGATAGAGTAAGGTGATGATGTGGCACGTCTATAGATGTGAAGTGTGAATGTGCTCAAACGGGTTCAAGGATTTCAGCTGCTGGTAGGTTTCACCGGCGAGAATGGCACACGGATATGTGCATACGGTGCGCGCGATGATGGGGGATACGTCCTATCCATAACCACAGTGCCAGCAGAGCCGCCGCGCATGGGCTGACGTAGGGAAGTTGTACTCGGCAGCACACCTACTGCCATGTCTGCCCGTGCCTTTCCCTGCCCCCATCCGCTTGCTCTGCAATCCTCCACTCCAATCCTGCTTACCCGTTTTGCAAAACTGAGCTGCCTGCGAACTGTCGTTGAACCGCCAGTGTGTCCGCATGTCATTGTGTTTTTGCACATGCTGCCACAGCGGCGGGTGGCAGCTGTTTGCCGCAGCCTTGCCCGCGCTGCTGGCGGCCCTGCGGCCGCATGGACCCGTGGGTCCGAGCAGCTGTGGGCCCTGCTTGACTCCGCCAAGGACAACTTCTTCTGGGATCGACTCGGGGAGCTGGCGGCGCCGGGGAGCAACCCCGAGGTGAGCCTGTGTGTGTGTGCACGTGTGTGTGTGTGTGTGTGTGTGCGCGCGTGTGTGTGTGGCGACTGAGCGCCGGTGGCATCGGCGTCGAGTTGAATTGGCTAAGATACTGCTGCTACCTCGGGGTCAGGAGGTAGGGCCGAACACCCACACCGTTCTACAGCTTTTGGGGACCACCTTGTCATGCAGGCCAACTGCTGCTACCACGCACTTGGCCGCGTCCTGACAACGGTGTTCTCTTTGAGGGGCTGATCACCTGCCATACAGCAGTGCTGAGCCACTGCAGTGGTGTTGTGATCTGTATATATGTTGGGGTTATTTGCTACGAGGTGGAACGAGCGGACAGGTCGTTGGTAACAAGCATAGGGTGCCCACGCTAATTCCGCAATAGCTGCAGGGGAATCTTCAGGCCGAATGTAGTAGAACACTCATCGGCAGCTGTGGCATGTTGGCCACGCTCGGACCTTGCTGCGGAGGTTCGACTAACCTGCAGAAGGTAGAGCTATACCACCGGCAACAGAACTTTAGGACCTTTACTGACTTAAAACCCCTCGCCTCTCGTTCTACCTTCCCCTCCCGCCTTTCTCCCCCAGGCCCTGGCTACAGCACGCAAGGACGCCCTGTCCCGCCTGCCCAATGGGGGCTCCAAGTCGCCCGTCGCGGACCTCATCACCCGGATCGGCCATACCGCCCAGCCCACGCTGCTATCACCCAGCCACGTGGCAGGGTTGATGGGGGCGGTTGGCATGGCCGGCGACGCCAACGACAGCGCCATCTCCGCCGCCGCGAGTTTCGCCGTCGCTGCGGCCAAGTCCGCTCCCGGGCTGTGCTGCACTGCGATGCCGCTGGTGGTGTCCATCGTCACCACAGAGCCGCCGCGACCGGAGCTGGCGTGTACGACTGCCGTGCGTGTACTGCGCCACACCGCGCGGCACTGCGGTATTGCAGCCACGGAGTCGCCCAATGCCCAAACCGGCATTGGCGCCAGCCCGGGTGGCGCTAAACCTGGAGGCGCTGGGCATGGAGGTCGGGATCAGCTGGAAAATGGTGACGATGCGGAGCGGGAAGCGGAGGACGAGGAGCTTGAGGACAAAGCCAAGGAAGGGGAGCAGGAGGGGGCGACACCAGTGCGTGGGAAGAAGCGCGCTCGAACGGAGGGACCTTCAGGCGCTGCTGCCGTCTCGGACGGCGCCGCGCGCCGCGTAACTCGCGGACAACAACAACAACAACAGCAGCAGCAGCAGCAAGAGCAAGAGCAGCAGCGGGGAGTGGAGAAGCTGGCGCCCGCTTCGCCGGACTGCCACAAGCAGCGCACTGCTGCTCTGACACTCGCTCTGACGGCTCTCAGCCAAGGGCCCTACCCCAAGGCAGCTAAGGCTGCGGTGCATGCTCTGTGGGCAGTGCTGGGTCCCGAGGGAGGAAAATCCGCGGTGACGCAGCTAGCGTCACAGCTGATGGCCCAGCTGCGGCCCGGTATGGAGGTATTGGCGTCCACACCGGCTGTGTTGCAGGCCATGGCAAGCGTAGGCGAGGTGGCGCCGGGTGTCTTCGCAGGTGGGTGATGGTGCGTGGTGGATGGGTCGGCGCGTGGCTGGGCAAGTTGCTGGTCTTTGGTGGCTTTATGATGGAAATGCAGCTTTCGCACCCATCTGGGCATAAGAGCTAGTGACGCCGTGGACTGCTCTCCTAGGGGGTAATGGCTGACCTTGACCTGGCCTTTGGGATCAATTACTCTATCTCCAAGCGGTCCAACAGCTGCCCGGACGCACTTGCTGCTGTCATCGCCTTGGTTACCCGCAGGCTGCCGGCGCAGTTAACTCTGAAACTCCCTTGCATTTGCCTTACCTCCATCCTGCCCGATTTTGGACTCCAGTTGCAGTTGGGGCTTTGGACGTCATCTGTAATTGTGCCGTCCTACTTATGCTGCACATACAATTCAACCCTGCGCTGCGCTGCGCTACCCTGCCCTTTCCTCTGGCCCAGAGCATGTGGATGGCTTCTGCAAATTCGTTTCAAAGCACTACATGCTGGCTACATTGAAGCCCCCTGTCGCCGCTGGTGCACGAAAAGGCATTGGAGGGAACACCAAGGCACCGCCCTTCCCGAGCAAGGGCGACGCGGCCTGGGAGGAGCCTCCATATGGCATCGGGCTCAAGGTCCGGGCTCTGCGGGCGCTGGCTCGCGGCTGCACGCCCGACGCCGCTGCCCCGGCTGCCACCGCAGTCGCCGTGCCGGCGGCGACCACCGCCGCAGTCTCCGCGCACGTGGAAGGCCTGCTCGTCCAACTAGTATCCATCGTGGATGACGTGTCTGAGTACGGCGCCACCAGCGCCTTGGATAGGGCCCATCTCTGCGTTGCCGCCGCACGGGCTTTGCTGCACCTTGCGAAGCGCCATGACTCCCGGCTGTTGGCGTCGTCATACGTGTCGCTTGCGTTGACGATGCAGGACCCCGTTATGGAAGTCCGACAGGCATTCGGAGAGCAGGTGTGTTGTTTGGGCATTATGAGGGCAACGGCAGTAAGCATCAAAGGGGGGGAAGCAAGGGCAGATATCCTCACGCGAACGGGGTTTATATGACAAGTAATTGTACGTAACCTACTACCGCGTTGCTCCCGTTTCCTATCTTCCCTGACCTTCTCCACACACCGCCACATCCCCCTATACACCGCACATCCGTAGGTGCGACTCTTCCTGCAGTCTGCGTTGCAGCACCGGCTGAGACCGCACGTGATCGCCAAGTACGCGGCGCTACTGCCGCTGGCTTGTAAGTACGGGAGCGCTGGGCTCCCTTGGGATTGATACGTGAATAGCTTGGATAGCGTTGCTGTTTACAGACGGATGGATAGACAGGCGACTAGACAGACAAACAAACAGACAGACAGACTTCGGCATTTTCCATTAATGGAGACAGGGTGCACATGCGCCCGAGCGCAGGAGCCGTTACCGCGGGAGGGCGCTCTTCTTTCTCTCCTTGTCATCAATCGTTCCTACTGTGTTTGTTGTAGCTTTGTTTTTTTAAAGTCATGCCCTTGCGCAAGTTGAACCCACTCGCGTGTTGCACCTCCTCCGTCCCGCCGCCCTAACTCAGGCGTGGATCCTCGACCCGAGCACAGGGACACCGCCGGCCGCATGCTGCGGGAGGTAGTGCTGGTGCAGCGAGCAAGGGCTCAGGAGGCAGCCATGGAGGCGGCCAACACCACCAACACAGCTGCTCCCGCTGCTGGCGGCTCTTCCGCCGCCTCCTCGCGGCCCTCCCTGGCCGACCTCCCCGAGTTCATGTTGGCGTTTCTGGTGTACATTCTCGCGCACCACCCAGACTGCCCCGAGGTGATGCGGGGCGTGCAGGGGGAAGGGGGATGAGATAAACCCACGTCGCAAGGGGTGCAGAGGGGGGGGTGAGGTGGGGTAAGAGAAAGAGGTGGGCAGTGGGCAGTGAGTGATGTGACTGTGTTGGGGAGTTCGCTTTTGGGACCACGAAATAAAAAAGATCTAGATAGATGTATCCAGCAAATAAATTTTGCGCACGAAACTCTAAGGTAATTAATAATTATGTCCTCTTATATCTTCTAAAACGATCCGCCGGGCAGTGTGGAGATGAGCTGCGCTGCCCTGCGAAGCCGCTGCCCGGAACAGTTATATACGCAGCACCCAAAACACCCGCAGTACACGGTTTGGCCCTGTCTTGTCTGATGTGGGCGGGCGTGACGGCCCGAGGGCGCCCTTTGTTAGATTCCTGTGCAGCTGTTAACTACATGTTGGGTTGGCTGGGCTGGGTACCGCTAGTCTTGCACTTCTAGCCATAACACATGCACTCGGCACGTTTCCTTGACTGGTGCGTTGCTGCATCCTGATGATACACACGGCATGCTGGTGGGCGCTTGGCCCCGTCAGGTCCCGGAGTCCCCTTCCCAGGAGGGCGTCAGCAGCCGCCAGCAGCCGTCAGGAAATGTGGCGGCGGCTCCGCCGCAGCTGGAGGAGTTCCAGCCCTTTCAGGACATGTTACAGTTTGCACTGGAGCCACTGATGGTGGCACCTGCTACGCACCAGGCCGCGGGCGGTGGTGGTAGTAGTGCGGTTGGTGCCACTGCCACTGCGACTGTCGGCGGCGTGGGTGAGGCCCTTCCGGCGGTGTGCAAGGTGCTCCGCAGCGTGAAGCTGCAGATGCAGGACGCAGATGAGACGGTGAGCGAGGGCTGTGGGGGGGGGTATCGCGTGAAAGGGAGAGCTCCGAGCTTTGAGGCGGTGGCGCCGGTATGGCCGCTGGCGCAAATGACAGGAAAGAACGTGATGTGACTGACGTGTGTTTTGGAGCTTTGTGAAGTGTGTGTACGCAACCAATCACCGACAGGAGAAGAACAGGGAGGTGGTCCTCCCACCCGTAATGAGGTGGTGAGCAACTAAGCTTGGCCCTTAGCTCACTTCATCTCCAACCTCACGCCCCTTCCCCCACACGTCGTCATTCCCCCCGTTTCTCCTTTTGACACGTCCCCAGTTCGAGCCTCCAGCCACTCGGACGATGCGCACGCTGGCCGACATGGGCATTGCTGTCGCCAAGGCCATCGTACAGCGGGAGCTGGCCGCCGCTGCCGCCACCCTTAAGGACGGCCGTCACCATCGCGGCGGCGGTAGGTCGGCCGCGGCAGCGGCGGCGACGTCACGCGACAAACAGCATCAGCAAGAGGCGGCAGCCACGGTAGCGGCGTTAGCCCGACGCGACCATCCGGGGCATGCGGTGGTGCCGGTACGGCTCTTCAAGCTGGTGGACACGGCGGAGACGAGGGGTGAGGAGCGCAATGAAAGAGGGCGTACTGTGGTTTTGCAGAGGTCTCTTCCTAGGCCACTCCGCCGTGTGTGTGGATGTGTGTGAAGATTCCGTTACCTCCCATTTCCTGGATGCTTCTTTCCCTATCCAACCCGTTTGTCACCTTCCCTTCCCCCCATCCGTGACAGGTCTCCGGACGGACGGCTCCTGCCTGCCCCCGAGCTATCAGGTGGTCCTCAACCCCGCAGTGGCGGAGATGGGCCGGAGGAACCCTGCTGCTGCTGCGGCGGCGGCGGCTGGCGCTGCGGGACAGCCCACCGGCGTCAGTCTTGGCTCAGGACGCGTCCCCGCCGGCGAGACGGAGCGGGCGGAGGGGGCCATGCAGGACGGCACGGAGGGAGCGGCGGCGGCGCAGGCAGCTGAGGACGAGGCGGAAGAGGGTGGGGATGGGGATGGGGCGAAGCGGTCCCCTGCGAAACGGGGGCCCCTTGGCGGCCACCGCAGCGCAAAGCGAAAAACGGAGGGCGCGGCGGCGGGCAGGGACGGGGAAGAGCACGGGGCCGTGGCGAAGAAAGGCCGCCGGGAGCCGGCACCGCTGTCACCACCGGCGGCGAAGAAAGCCGGGGGAAGCGGTGCTGGCCGCGGCCGGGGTGGCGCCTGCGGTGGCGATGGCGGCAGCAACAAAGGAAAGGGTCGGACCAGCGGCGCTACGAAGGCTGGGGGCGGTTCCGGAGCTGCTAAGCGGCGTCGTGCCGGGGGCTATGAGAGCCTTAGCGAGGGGGAGCCAAGCTCCTCTAGCGAAGAGGAGGACGAGGAGGAAGAGGAGGAAGAGGACGAGCAGGAGGAGGAGCTGGTCGAAGATGTCCGCGTGAGCATCAAGGCAGTAGCACCGAAACACGGCGCAGCGGCTGCTGCTGACAAAGGCAAAGGCACGGGTGGTCGTGCTTCGGCGGTGATGGCGGAGAAAGGGAAACAGAAGCTCGCTGCCGCTGGTTCAGCAGCTGCTGTGGCGGCGGCGGCGGCCAAGGCGCCAGGCATAACCGCGAAACCGCAGCAGCGGCGTGGTGCAGCTGGGCAGCGACAGGCGGCTTCCGGGCAGGAGGAGGAGGTGGAGGAGGAGGTAGATGAGTACGAGTTGCCGGAAGAAGATAGTGATAATGGTAGTGGTGCAGGTGGCGAGGTTGCCGAGCCAAAGGTGAAGCCGAGGGCAAAGGCAGGCAGGGGACGCGCTGCACAGCCCGCAGCTGCTGGCAGCGGCGTAAAACCACGACAGCCGCAGCGACAGCAGCAGCAGCAGCAGCAACGTAAAGGCCCGGGCTCCCGGCTGAAGTCACAGCCGGCACAGCAGCGACAGCACAGGAAAGAGGTGTCGGACGATGAGGATAACGATAAGGCGGCTGATGATGTCCATGAGGCGGAAGGCGCTGAAGATGATGATGATGACGACGATGATAAGGAGAACACCGCAGTCGGAAGTGGGGATGCGTGGAGAGGCAGCGCCGGCGGCGATACCGCAGCTAGTTCTGGCCTTGGAGCGGGCAAGTCGCTGCCGGCTCGCAAGGGCGCTCAGGGCCCGGTCAAGGACAGGGAAGCACGCGGTAGGTCGGGTAAGGATATCCGAACGCTGGATGACTGGGGGCTGCCGCCACCTCAGCTAGTCTGGGCCGTCTTCCTTGGTTACGTCCGCAGCCACCTTTTCCATGTGCCCAATCATTTTACGCCTTTTACGGAACTGCGGCGGTTCTCAGCTCTCACTCCTGATTCTTGGCCGACCCAAAACTGTGTTCTCCCTTTTGGCGCCTTTTGCGGCTTTGTCTTTCTTTGCCCCTTGCCTTAACCTCCCGTTCTAGATCCTTCTCCTCCGTGCTAGGCAGGAAAAGCCAATCGCGCACTATTTCTTTGCACGTTGCGATGCTTCGGTTATTGACATCGGCAGAACGGCGGACCAAGCTCCGGATTTGTAGATGATACACGTTTTCCGTCCTCTCCAATCCTCTCCGCTCTGGTCGAGTCTGTTGCGAAAGCAGAGGGCCATGTACCCCTGCTTAGTACAATCACGTGCGGTACCCTCTCCGCCTCCCCCAGCTACCTGCCCACACAATCTCCCGTTCCATAACACGGCACCCACCGGGGTCCCCCTCACCCCGATGTCCCTGTCCAAGGGCAGATCGGCGGATACAATTAGCTACTACTGCTGCTGCTGCTACTGCGGCGGCGGCTGCGGCCGCGGTGGCGGGGCCATCCAATGGCACCCGCAAGCCGCCGCCACGCCGCGATGGCACTGCTGCCCAGCAGCACCTCCGCCAGCGACAGCAGCGACAGCCCACCAGGCCCGCCCCAGAACCCCAGCAGTACGTCTTCGACGACGATGAAGATGGGGATCATGCAGACGATGAAGCGTAGGCCGACGCGTGGAAGCGCTGGCCGGGATGGTTACGGGCCATGGTGTCGGGGTGTGCATGTGTGTGTGGGGGGGGAAAATCAGGAAGTCGATAGCCGCTGGAATCGGGGCTCCGTCTGCGGCGGCAGTGTCAAACGCGAGGGAAGGACCTACATCTGGAAGAAATAGCCAGGACCACGAAATTGCTAACAGGAAGACAGTGGCGCTTGTTGACATGCTAGTGCATGTGGAACATGTGTTGAGACCGCGTCGCAGCGGAGATAATATGTCTGTCGCCAGTAGCAGAGTAAGGCTCATTCTGACACCATTACCGTGGATAACCAGGATTTTGTTACTGCTTACGGCGGTTTGTCGTCCTCTAGGATGACCGTTTGGAGCACTTCCCTTTTATGCTACACTTATGTTTATGTCCTATAGCCTTCATGGCTTGCTGTACGGTTGCGTTCGGGGTGTCGGATAGGACAGGGCGAGGCGAAACCGGGGCTGCCAAGGGCCTTACACTACTGCAGAGTACTAATTGCTGCTCTCGGAGCGCCAGGGCGCGTGTGCGCCGAAGCGCGGTCTAGCGCCACACGGCGCGGTCTGAGCGCGCGCAGCGCTGTCCAGCGCGGCCACACCGGCACGGCCGAAAGAACTGACGCACAGCACTAGACAACTAAACGCAGCATTAATGACTGCGTCCACTGGTCACCCGCCCCGAGGGCAAACCTGAAGCGTCAGCGACGCACGAACCACACCCTGGCCAGCGGGGCTGGCCAGGCGACATTCCTAGCGCGCGACGATACTCTATAGGCACTTATTTGCCGTGCGGTAATCGCTGTACAGCTGCACGTCCGGCGCTCCGAGGGGACTGCCTAATCACCGGTCTCCAACTGGGCCGAGCCTGCCGCTTATAAACGAGGGACACTGAGGGCGGGGGGGGGGG